AAGTCCTATTTTATGTCAAAATACCTATATTAGAACAAATCTATATATAAATGTAATATATATCCTAAGTAGCGCTTTTTTTCCTTCCTCAGTGAACATGAGGCTCGTCGCAGAATAATCTACAATATAACTGCCATTGTCGGTGTGTCATGCAGAACAGTACAGACAATCCTCATTTGTGATTTGAACGTGCTCCGTGTTGCTGCTACGTTCGTTTCCAGACTGCTGCCCCAAGAATAGAAGGAACGCCACGTCGAAACCTACGAAGAACTCGGTCAGCCGTGGATGGCCTGTCCTTCGTGTCGAGGATCATTGCCGGCGGCGAAATTTGGGTTTGCATAAATACAGCCACGACGTGTAAACAAAGCTGTCTGAAAACTTTTTGATACCACCTCGTATCTCTAATTTTTATTTGAATAAAACTAGAGGTGATTTCTGTGGTGGATCAAATTTAAGGTTTAATAATGTGCATATTACATGTAATTATTTTACATTACCTGATAATTCTTCTAACTCTTGAAATCTTCTGATAGAATGCTTTGACAATATTTGGTAAACAGGATCGTCATAAAGAATTCGGATTAATCTTCCTTCGTCATAATGTGATGAAAAGATGTCACGCTGCTGTCTTTCTTCTGGCTTTATTTAAAATATTCCGCTCTTAGATAGTTAAATTTCAGCAATACAATATGTCATAATGAAATAAAAGTTTAGTTTATTGTAGTAATAAATCTGAAGTCGTGTAATAATATTTAACAATTCATATTTTTAATACTTTTTCATAATACTGCAATAATCTTTTTCGTCCAAATACTGTAGCTTCAAATATTTACTTTAAATGTAATTGGAATACCGTATAAGAAAAAATACTGTATAAGTAAAACCTCAAATTTCAATGTAATCAGCAAAATTGTCTATTCTTTTTTATTTAAAGGTTATATATATTTAGAAAACACTAAATTTTTAATCTGGTTTCAAGCGTTCGCTCTTAACAAGTTAATTTCTTTAAATTAGTAAATTAGTTTATTTTTTATTCAAATTGTTCGATAATTTTTCACTTATAAATCTTGAAAGGATTAAAGCAATAAATAATATCAAACGTTTGTCGTTCTTTATTATTCTCATTTATATTTAAGGATTTTCAGTCTTCTGTTTGTCATGAGGAAGTGGACATAAATGGAAATAGACGTAATCTAGAAAAAGGTTAAATTGTTAGCTATATACAAGGTCCTCTAAACTGTCATGTAATTAATTTTGCATAGCAGTAAACATAGAGATGTTCATTATGTACTCAAAGCTAAGTTACATATGACTTTTTCATCTTTAATACAAATTGTTCATTAACTTAAAAGTAATAACTGGTATTACCGTTGGTTCGTCAGGTCCTATCAAACAAACTTTCAAAGCTGCATTCGCTGAAGCATGTCTAGCAGCGGCGGATCCAAACATACCTGCACCAACAATGCACAAGTCGTAAATTTCTTCAACCATCTCTTCTGTTTGCTGCAAGACAGAGAAAATAAACGACAATGAATTAAAATCTGAAGTGGACACAACATGACTTCCTTGACACTTTTTTAAATTAAACACATTTTTTGCTGCACTTTCTTTAAACTGTTTTTCTGTAATTACCCTAACTTAATTAACGGATTCCTCAAGATAAGGGAAAAATGGCATCAGCAGCTGCAAATTTTTTGAAATTTAATATCCCAATCAATTTCTGTATACGGAAGTCAAATTTCCTATAAATTTATTTTTTTCAGAACGAGTATAAAACTCTCCCAAATATATACTTAGGAACGAAGAAACCGCACTGAAAGTTAGATTTCGCTATCTGTCGAATTCTTTTTTTTAATTTTGACGTTGCCAAAATATGAATATTTTCGTCATTTAAAATACTTTTCTGACACTGCGGTGAACGACTGTAAAAATAATGGCCAGGTAAGGATTTTTATTCGTACGTATGTACGTACAGACGTCACAAAATTATCCCTTTTGAATACATTTTAAATTCATTTGACAAGCCATTTCGGCAAAAAAGTCCTTTATTCTGTCCGTAAGTACAGACGTAACGCAAACATACTTCTCAAAATGAATTCTGGAACGGTAACAATATATATATATATATTTCAGCTGGAATATGATACCCGAAATTTTTCGCAACTACTATACTTCTTTTAATTCGTAAAAGGAAATAAAGTGAAAGAGAGAAATTCTATTATTCATTTGTAACATAAAAGCTACCTATATCTAGCCAGTTTAGGAAAGAGTTATTTTATGTTCTCATAGTAAAAAATGAGAAAAACTACAATGCACGGCAATTACAGTACAAACTTATTCTTTAAAGTCTTTTTGCAACCCTTTCGCGATTACAATACTCCCTTCACTTCGTACAAGGAAGTAAAACACTGAGCTCACCGAGCCGAATAATAGAGTGGATATATATATGTATGTAAATTTGCTTTTAGTGCAACCGATTGCACCCAAAAAGGGAGGTGCACAACTACATGTTATGGCAGTACTATATACAACATTTCAACATTTTGCTGCTACTAGTTTTTGAGTTATGCGAAATACATACATATATACGTACGCACGTACAGAAGCTACGAAAACATCTCTTCTGAATCCATTTTAAATCCTTTTATGCAACCCATTTTGGGAAAAAGAATAGTTTATTCTGACCATTACAGATGTCACGTACAGAGTGATGTACACGAAAACATCGTTAAATTGCATTCGATAGCGGTCAAAATGGATAAGTTTGTTGAAATATGATACCCAGAATTTTTCATGATTACAATACGTGTTTTACTTCGTACAATGAAGTAAAAATAACCCTGAAAAGTACTTGAAATATTAAAATATTAATATATCATAATTGTTTTGCTTTTTTAATATATACTTCCCATTTAGCTAAATGCAACAGATATTTCTTAGTCAAAAAACTCTAAACTAAGTATATAATAAATGAATCAACGTGTACTCACATTCTGCTTGAATTAAAACATGTTTATAACACAATTATTCACCTTATCATTCCATCGCTGTCACTTCCTGTCAGGATAAACTCTGAGACAGCAGAAAATCTTTCCTTCTGGCAAAATATTGACATTCATTTCTACTACCATTAGTAAATTTAATATTTTCCATTTGCTGTTATTTTTCTCGAAGAGAGAATAATCTAAAATTTTTTATTTGTTTTCTTCAAATTATAAATGATTTATGATCGCATTTTTACTGTGTTGTACGAAGTAAAGGAAATATTTTAACAGCGAAAATTTTCGGATATCATATTTCATCGAAAATATCCATTTTGACCTTTATCGAATGCAAGTTAAGAATGTTTTTGTGTCGCATCTCTACGACAGAATAAAGGACTCTTTTTTCCAAAACGGGTTTCAAAAAGGGTTTAAAAAGAATTCACAAGAGAATTTTTCGTGACGTCTGTACGTTCGCACGTATATATGTATGTGTCTAGCATAACTCAAAAACGAGTAGCCTCACAACGTTGAAGTTTTGTATATAGGGGTACTATAACATGTAGTTGTGCACCTCCCTTTTTGCTTGCAATCGGCTGCACCAAAAGTATAGATATTTATACCCACTCTGTTACTCGGCTCTGTGAGCTCAGTTTTTTAATTCTTTTATGTTGGTAAATTGTGCATTTTTTGCTTTAAAAATGATTGAATTACGTTGTTCTTATCTTTCGGTTAAGGTTTTTATACCTCTAGTTAATCTGCATGCATTTAGTTAATCTGCAGTTGTAGAATTATCAACGATTTAAAAGTTGTCTAAGTGAGACTAAGTGTAATTAACCATAACAGCCATACTTGTTTACATTTGAAACAATAATGAAATAAGTCTGTTTCTGCACCTTCAGTGTCTTTTTGCCGAATGGGATCAAAAGTAAACTTTCAGTTTTGTAAACTGAAAAATCTGCCTTCTTACCCGCTGGCTGAATTGTTTATTTTTGCGTAGAAGCTCTAATTTTACTTTTAAAAATTCTTTTTTAACTGTTTTAATTGTTCTTGGTGTTTTATATTTTTTAATTTTTAATAAAGATATTTTGAGCTTTTATGTATTTTTGCCTTTCCGCGAAGTGAGAACTGAATGAATTGAATGAGGAATATATCTCTAATGAAATTCGATGAAATAAGTTTAAATTAAATGCAGCAAAATTGCGTATAAATTAATATTCCGTACAAGGAGGTCATTTTGGTCGCATCAGATTTTTTTTAAGTAGAGATACTATTGGAACGTTTTTATAGAACGAAATATGGAAAACGATTGGCATGTCATTTCAGAAAAAGTCTCATTTTGTGTCAAAATACCTATGTTAGAATAATGCTATATATAAGTCTAATATATATCCTAAGTCTCGCTTTCGAGACATGGAAAACGCAATTTGAATTTCGTCCAACCGCCCAGTAGAACGAGAGATATAGAAGATATAGAACTGTCCCCCCCCCCTCTTTTTTTTTTTTTTTATTATTCAAAGTGTACGCTGTAAGTGCTTTTAAAATGTATGTTAAAATGCTACTATTTATTCTTTTAATTTTTTAACCGTTTCGTTTAAATATTTTCTTATTTGTAAGTTTAAAAAACGAAAAAAAAAAAAAAAAAAACTTTTTAAAACTTTAGATAACAGGGCCTCCGCTTGATTTGTCATTTCCCTTGATCAGTAATGTGATTTGTTAATGAAGTCCGAGTGCGTTAATGAAAATGCAAGTGGTTGATCGCGATGCACTGTGGGATCTAACAAAGGGTTGCAAGCTTTCACGTGCATATTTAATAATTTAATGTCGTTCCTCAGTGCTGAATTCATTGGGTAGGAAAGCGTTCATCAATTACGCAGTTTCTCAGTATAATCATTAAATTCAGGAAATTGTTTGCAATCATTTTGCATTCTTGCTCCTCCACCCGAAATAAAAAAGCAATTAGAACTGAACGCATTTCAGATAGTTTCATTCACTGGATAAAATCCAAATTGAGGTCACCACAGATCGTGAAATTCACAGTAGTACACAAGAATAATATTTATATAGCACAGTGCAAATAGAGCTCTGTTTAAAAGTTATTTATTTAAACTGCTCGCGCAAGCTTCTATAAAATATGCTTTATAGTATACGTTTATAGGAAGAATCAATAAATAAGATTAGAATTACTAAATCGAAACAATTTGATTTTTAATTCTTTTTAAGAATTATGAATTACCTAACAGACCTCCTTATTATTCTTCACCTTATTCCCAAAATCCACTTAGCATTGCATTGGAAATAATTTATTTGCGAATAAAATAAACCATCATTTTCAAAAGATATCGTGCTTTCATTCTATATAAACTGAATTTTGAAGTTTGGTGCAAGTATCACGCATACTAAGTTAAACTTAACATTTCTTAAAATCATGACTCGAACAATCTGCTGTCGATACCGTATTTTTTCCCCTTAAATAGATAAAATAACTCATTCAATAACTTATAGTTTCATCAAATAATTTTATTTAAACGTGGTCAGTTTTCTTAGATTGGAAGCTAATGCACAAAATTCAAGTTTAGATTAAAGTTATTTCTCCCAGTAATAATTCTTTTATAAACGTGCTCGTTTTTGTTTTAATTATTAGATTTTTAATAATATCAAATGTCAAGTATAAAGTAAACTAACCTTTACTTACTCCAACTTAAGGCTTATTAGGTTTCACAATCAGTTTTCATTCACTCATTAACCACTAACGTCCAAATATAATCTTAGAAGATAGAGGGAACAGGGAAATAAAAGTTACTGAATTTTTTTCCGAAATAATCCTTCAGATATGGAGATTCCATCTGTTATAATGATGGAACTTTCTCCGCAACGACAACCTTAATGAATGTTATCACAAATGTACATGATTCAGCAATTTTTTTTTGAGGGAAAAAAATTGCCCAACCCTCTGTTGAAACTCTCACTCATCGACCGAGGATTCGTTGCAAAGCGAACGATGTCATATGTATTTAAGACTTGGTAACAAACTCATCTGTAAAAACTTGATAATCTCGGCAAACAGTGGTTGGAGTTACACAGCTGTAAAATGCAAAGTAACTGACACTTCGAGCTGTTCGAGCTGGTATAACGCGGTTTGATATATGTGCGATCTGTTGACAGTTACTTTATTTACTATAAATAATTATAAAATTATAAATTAAAAGTAATTTAATGAAAGTTAATTATTTTAGTTCAATGTTAAACAAAAAGGCTTGTTAATTGATACCGAACTAATATTCATGATAGATGCAGATACAGCAAAGTGATCAGGAATTCAAAATTTGACCGAAAACATATTTTGAGAAATAAAATTTTTGAGCATTAGCATTGACTAAAACATTGCTGTAACCTATACGTCATGAAACATTTCCAAAGTAGTTATTATTTTTGCCTAAGCATCTGAAGTCCATATACTTATCCTCATGTGATTATTTTCCACTTGACTGAAATTAAATGGAATGCACCGTTTTCGTTAATGATGGTTTTTCTTTAAACTAATCTATGAATATTACGTAATAATTATAATAACTGTTTCCTGTAGTTCATATTTTATGTCTTATAGTTAAAACAACTCAATAAAAATCTGAAGGAGAATAGAAACTTTAAAACTTCTTAAGTTAATTCTCTGAGTATGTAATATACTATACTGCAATGAATTTATAAAATTATTGTAGATTAATGGTAAAAAAGGAACATAAGTTGATGCTATAATTCGCTTGAGTAAGCAGACCATGGACTTGTTCTATTTCATTAGAGGAGAATGCTTTTTATTTTCATCACATTTGCTTTCTTGTTTACATTTAAAAATCACTCATTCTAAATGATAAACAAACAATTGCTATCTTGTTTGCAGAAAAGAAAAATATCACCATCTTTTCAAGACAATGTGTAAATACTCAACTATTTAGGATTAACTATTATCATTATTATTTTCAATTACTCAAGATTCATTCCTTTTGCTATTTTCTCAAGGTTATTATAAGAATTGTTTTCCAGAATTGTGTTTTATTATTACTACTAGAACTTATACTAATACAAAAATACCTTTACAATATACTAATAAATATACTAATACAAAAATACCTTACAATATACTATAAATATACTAATACAAAATACCTTTACAAAACTAATACAAAAATCGAGCTTTTTAAAAAAACCGGTTTTTCAAATTCAATATTTCCAAAAAAACCGGTTTTAACCGGTTTTCGAATTTTTGTCAAAAAAAGTAGAATAGAGAAAAATATTTTATTTAATTTATATAAAATAACAAAAAAGAAATCAAAATATAAAAAATATTAAGTATTATATATACATATACAAAGTAAAAAAAATTCCAAATAATATTTATATTATTTTCACTAATTTTAATTTATGACACCGACACTGATCAATATCACTTCGAGTATCTACTACCTAGAGTTCTAACCAGTGCATTCACGTATGCCAGAAGGCTGTTCACTGTAGTTTTTTAAAAATTTATGGTTCATAGCAGCCACCCGAAGGCGAAGATGTACAAACTGCGTTCATTAGGCAATCTGGTATCTTTTCAATTTCTCCTAAGAAAATAGGATTTTAAAAAACATAAAATATCCGCTGAACGGTGGCCAAGTCTCGTTCTTATTTTGAATACAATAAATATTGTTACGAATTTGGTATTTAAAAAGCTAATGTTAGTTCAATTATAAATTAAATGGTTTTATTTCTCGCGCAGTGCAGCGCGTGACGAATATTAAAAGAAAGCTAAGCCGGAAAAATTAAAAATACAAGAGCGCGTGCGTTAAATAAATAAATATCTCTTTTTGATTTCGAGAAAATGCTGGAAAATTCTAGCGCGTGATTTTAAAATCTTATAAAAGGAGGAAAACATCTCAGTTTGCAGTAGTTGCTTAGTTTGTTGTTGTTTAGAAAACTACTGTTGTTGATTGTAGCGAATTCGCGGATTAGCGTTCTTTAGCTGTTTTGAATTACGTTCTATTGGACATTTGAGAGTTAAAAGATAACTACTGTGAGATATTGTAATACTGCAAGATCATTTGAGAAAATTTAAGCATTTTTGTTGTGATAATAATAAATTTTTGTTCATTTTTCATCGGACTTGTGCATTCATTTCATAACGAACCCGTACGCACGCAACAATATTGCCTGAAATTGAAAATACTCTTTTACTTATTCATTTTTATCTAAAAATGAAATTAAAGTTATTAAATAAATATTTTTGAAGTTTATTTTATTATTTTAACTATTAATATTAATCTAATTTAAAGAAATCTACCTGCACATTTTAAGGAATTTTGTAAAAAAATTATGTAATTCCGAAGCATGATAAAGACATAATTTATGTGAAAACGTTGCGAAACAAAATTTGGATTATTTTAACATCCTGTGTTTTATTTAAAATCCCATTTAGACAGAAGCCAGAACATTTTATTTTACATTAATTTTTGAGAAAAAAAATTTATATAATAAAATTAAAGTTTTAAAACGTAAAATAGAAAATACAAACATAGAAATTAGAAACATACTTAATACTTAGGTTATTTTTACCAAATATAACAACTATATATTTTTGTTTCCAGTTTTCACTTTACAATATTAAGTGACCCTGTTGTTACTCGTAACTGATTGCACATATGTGCTAACATAAAATAAATAGGTTAGGCACGTCTTTTCCACGTGCACGTGAGCAGCGCACAATGCACAAGCGATGGCCAACGTTGAAAAAATGTGTTTGCTGCCATTTTCATAGAATGAATAGCAAATCAAAAAAGTTTAAAACTAATTTTGACATAATAATATCAATTCTTAATTAATAATATCATTTTTTCTTAATTAAGATACCTGATTTTTAAAACCGGATTCGAAAACCCGTCAAACTCTAATGCAGAGGAAAGATCAGATAAGCTACACACCTCAGCAGTGCATTAGCATATAGTTCGTTCCCTCATGAACTTAATAAATAATTTTAGACTTGTAAACATTATTGTTTTACGGCAAAAAAGAAAAAAAAAAAAAAAAAAAAAAAAAAAAAAAAAAAAAAAAAAAAAAAAAAAAAAAAAAAAAAAAAAAAAAAAAAAAAAAAAAAAAAAAAAAAAAAAAAAAAAAAAAAAAAAATTTTCTACATTTTAAATGTAAGACCTTCATTGAAGATAAGATTATGCCAAACCATGCCGATAATTGCTTTATCGAAATTGCTATCATCTTTCACCAATAATTGCTTTCATCGTTTGATATGCTGTACATGTACAGGAAAGTAAGAATAAATTCCACATAGTGGAGTTAAGATTACGAATAAGGTCTACCCTTATGGGTTATATAATTTATGGTGGTAAAGGTCGGCAGGCCGTAGAAAAAAACCATTATCCACATTTATTCACGTTAGTAAAAATCCTTTCCTTATTTCAATATAACGGATATTGAACCTTGTAGGAAGAACAAAGCTAAATTTTCAGAATGAACAAAATACTTTTATTTGAATTTTAGAACAGAACCAAAAAAAAAAAAAAAAAGATAAAATGCTGAAGCTCTTAACTATTAAAATTTTAAACTCTTAACTACTACAGTTAAAACTCTTTCAACTATATAAAAAAATCTTCCGAATTCTCTTCTTGTTGCCACACCGTAAAATTCAAGTTCTTGTCCTATTATTTATATTTCCCGTTCTTACACGATCTTTACAGGTCATGATCTTTACAAGTTACGATCTTTACAAGTTACGATCTTTACAAGTCATGATCTTTACAAATCACGATCTTTACGAGTCATGATCTTTACAAGTCACGATCTTTACAAACCCCCCACAAAAAGCACATTCGTCACCGTAGAGACAATTCTGCTCAGAGTTCATTGAGAGAGAAAGAGTTAACTGCTAACCTTGACAAAGCATCAGGATTCCCATGTGAACTTCCTTTGGCAGATACTGAGCACTTGAATCACAGATTTCACTCACAAATAAATTAACAAACCCTTCAGGTTTTTCTTTAATTCTGCTTTTTTCAGAATATGCTACCCAAGGTATATCAGAACATAAAATAGTTTTTGAGGCATCACTAAGAGTATATGGTGACATTTCAGATATATTCATTTCAAAATCTTTAAATGGAGCCTCTCCTGTTTCATCTTGAATAGACTTTTCAAGAGGTTCAGTATCAATTGCATTATGTTTAGCTGAATTAAAATCTGCATTATGAATAGAATCTTGATCTGGCTTACCGAATGCATTTACATTAGATGAGCCTTCTTTTTGAATTTGATCAGATGTATGTTGATTATGTTTTTTTTTTTTTTTTCTTCTTCTTTGGCTTTCTTTTGCCAGTAGTTTCTTTATATTGAACAGTTTCTGATGTACAAGGTACATTTTCATTCACTGTATCCACTCCTTCTACACAGTTATCACTCACAGAAATTTCAGTTGATGTATCCTGCAATACATGCTGGCTTTCTCCTATCAAAAATGTGGCATCTGAAACAGAGCTTGATTTTTTAACATTTGATAAGTCATATGATACTATTACCTCTTTTTCACTACTGGTGCCAATACCTGTCATTTTAACAAGACAATTGAAATAATTATTAGGAACATAAGCAGTTTCAGATGTACCACAAGGAACAAATGGTTGTATTTTCAGTACATCTGAATCTTTAAGTGAGAGTTTATTATTTTCACTTTGGTTGCTGATATCAGTGGATACACTAGAAGGTTCACATTCAAATAAAAGTTCTGCTCTAGGACTTAAACTGGGAATAGAAAGATTTGTCTCATCAAATTGATGCAATGAACGAGTGGTATTGTATTGCATTTGATTAGATGTTATATGATCCTGTTTCATCTTTTGTTTATGCTTTTCTTCTTTGCTTTCTTCTTGACACTTTTATCTTCGAAGGAGTCAAGTTTAGACAGATGAGAAATATTACTGCTTGTTTCTGGCAGAACTACTGCTTCAATTGTAGATGCTACATTTAAAGTATCTTCTGAAGAAAGCTGAGTTTTCACAGGTGATTGCTGCTTGTCTGATAAGCATAAGCTTTCATTATTCACCTTCTGAAATAAATTCCTGCTTTCTTTATCAACAGCATCCACTTCGACATTTGCTTTGGTTGGAACATCAGAAGATGAAATAGCTGCAACTGCTTTATCATTAACATCCTTAAATGATGCTTCTTCAATTATACCATGCTCTAAATCGCTAGTAGACATGTTTTTATCTTCATCCTGCTCAGACACTTTCTGCTTCAAAGTTTTCTTAATAGTAGTAGTAGAGTCTGTTCTATTTTAAGATACATAATTTATGCTAAGAGCTGAACCAGGAGTAATTGCTAGATTTGTATTAAGGTTTGAAACTGGATAAACTGGTTCAGCCGTTTGTGTCTGGCCGATTTTTAAATCATCTTGTATTTTACATTTTGATTTACGGTTCTTTTTTCTTTCTTACTAATGTCTCTCTTTTGACACGGCTCTGATTTTCATACGAAGTCAAGCGAATCCGAGTTATCACTGCTCTTGCTTAACATGTTTGCAGCCTTAACAGATGTTAATGGTTCCTTGGAGCTGATATGTTCATCTTCCTTGAAGCGCTGAATTTCTTCAGTTAAATAAGAACTACTTTCTAAATATTTTTCTGAAGATAAGCCAAATGAAAGCTCTTCTGCATTTTTTTAGAACTTTTCAGAGAATAAATTTTATTATTATTTGAAACGGGTATTTCTGGTAATTTATTTTGCAATTCTTCACTGCTTCCTATTTCTGAAAACTGGTATTTTTCAACCACTTCTCTATGAGATGATTCGGAACAAAGTAATATGCCATCATCGAAAGTATATGAATTTTGATTTTTATTTGCCCATTCAAAGCATTATTTCAGAGTTTCGTCTTGTTCTTGATGTGTCTTGAATTCTAGTCTTACTCTGTTCGTTGTTTTCAGAGACTCTAAGTTTTCTTGGGAAATCTGATTAACAACAGCCAAATTTGTAGTATTATCTTCAACTGGTGAGGGTTCATCATCTGTCTCTTTGTACTTTAAGGGTGATGCATCCCAATGACGATCACTGTTCCACAGTTCGATATTTCCACAGAGCGTTTTATAAGCTGAAGAACTCAATAGCAAGTCGGTAACTAGCTTTTTTGAAACAGCACACGTAATGGACACTCTACCTTGAAAATCATCGTCAATTTTCATCTGGAAAATCTTTAGTGGAGTAATTTCGTTTTCACTAAAAGCAGAAGATATCTCTATTTTACTTTCTCCTTCGCAAGGTATGTTGTCAACCAATTTCTCACGGACTACTGAAATTTGTGCTCCCGTGTCTACGATTCCATTTAGAATAATATCTCCACATTTAACTTTGACAAGTTTTAATTCATCTATGTTTCTAGACACGTGCACTGATTTTGAGACAGGAATATAGAGATCTTGGCAGTTAGCACTTCTGGTTTTTCTTTTTCTGCAAGGGGTGCTTGTGTTTGTATTAAGTTGTTTTGTGCTGTTGCAGAAGCACTTCTTGGTATCCGACTATCATAACTTAGATGTATGACCTTCTTTTCCACAATTATAGCAAGTTAGTTTGAAACTAGGCTTTTGTGGTTCGTCACTCTTACGGGATGGGTAC